CACTTTTTAGCTCAATCTGTAAGCATTAATCAAGAGAGTCCTCCGAGGGAGTATAATTACTGACTTTTAAGAATGGACCTAAGTAATAAACCCCAGAAACCAAATAACCATCACATTGGGTTTAAGGATTGTCGTCAATGCTCAAAAGTTTTGAGCATTGACCCTAAACTCAAGGTCATTGAGTTCAATTACCACTTCTGCGACTCTGTTTTTCGGTCTTTGATGGTTACATAACTCATTACTAGGGGCTTGACGGGGAAAAAAAGAGAAGAGCGACCGAATTTATTGCTTTGTAGAGAAAGGATATCTAAGCTCCAGGGAGCAAAAAAAAGTAATTAAAATGTGGGACAGAAAAAACACGTGCAAAGAACGTGATTAATCACATAATCTAGGCGCGCGAAAAACTGCTGTGGCATAATGACGCAGGGTAAAAAGTACGCCGTAGCATGAGCACGTGATTTCTCAGAGTTAGCTCCAACGGTACTATAGTAGTTTAACAGGTTAAATATATGTAAAACCGTCAAACCGGGCTCCAGAGTAGTCGTCGTAGCTCAGCGGTTAGAGCACTAACTCTCGAACTCAAAGTTGTAGGTTCGATTTCCACCGACACCTCTCTTCTTCGGTTTGCTTCGTCCTCATAAATACTAATATAGTTCGCAGATGAAAAAAGGTTGCAGAGTAAGGATATAATTTAGATTTACACTCCACATCTACCCATTTTTCATCTAACCTTAATTAAATTTTACTTTTATTTTTTAAATATATTATACATTTTATTTCTAAAATTTCAGGAACTACATTAGACGAAATAGAATTCTTACTTTAAAAGAATATTTGTCATAATTACGTTAGGAATTTTAAAATTTCAGGCCTAAGTTCCACTTCCAAATAACCCATGAGATCTACTTTGCACTGCATAATTTCGTGTTTATGCAGCTTTATAGCAACCTACAAGGAAAGGAATTACAGCACTAAAATCTAATAACTTTTAAATAGCACTTAATTATGATAAGGGTGACGAATATTTGTATAAAAAATCCTTTTTTTTTTACTGTAATAATTTTTAAAAAGTAGTCTTCAACCCTCAGTTAAAGATGAAGGCGGTTATAGAAAAAGAAAAATCTTCAATTATACAAAATTATTTTATAAAAGTTTATTTACATACAAGCAAAGGTGACTCTTAAAAAAATTCACCTTTTTGGCAAATTGTACTAAATTAAATAAGATTGCCTTTAATAATAAACGGTCGAAATCCCTTATCTTCTAAACCATATTTTAAAACCACACAAAAAATTATGACCTTATGTTTGGAACTGCGACTTAACCAGTTTTGTTATAAATATATTAATACATTCTCTACACAGTGATAAAACTACAATTTATAAACAAACTCTTCTTCCTTCTTCTATCAATTTAATCTTTGTAGGGAAGAATCCAGTAAAACCTAACAAGTAATGTACAATCCTCCCGCATCTCATTGGACAAAACCCATTCGGATTCGCTTCGCCCTTTCCTTCATTCTCTGACCATTTAACAATCACTAATAAAAATAGTTAGGATTAGTGGTTACAAGAAAGGGAAAGAATAGGTAACTCCGTATACATTTTATTAAAGAAGCCAAAAACCCTAAGAGAAACGTCGTTTACAGGGATCACTAATTAAAAGTATAACTGCTATAAACACAGAAAATGACCCTATCAATGTATAAATATTATTTTTAACATTATTTTTTGATATTTTGAAATTATGTATAGAATTAGGCTGCCGTCATAGCAGTAACTTAATATGTTCTTCAGATTCCTAAACATGTGCTTTCTCATTAACTTAATGTGGCTTTTTTTTAATAGAAAAAATTCGTTACATCGCAGGTACTGCAGCTTTTTCACTAAATAAACTTATAGAGACTGCTTATGTGAACTTTTTATCCCTAAAGTATGAATTTATTTTAAATTCTTTAGACAACGAAAAAAATGCTACTAGATTTAATTACTTTAAAAGAAAATATATTCTTGCATCCGCTGGAGTATTTCCTAAATAATTTTTTTTTAGGTTCCAAAGGCAAGGCTACAGCAGAATTTTTTTCACCAATCCTTTAAATTCTGAAACTATTTACACGATACACATTAAAATAAAAACCTGAAAGTGTACTACATGAACGGTAGTTCGTCAAATTGTCGCCTACAGAAATTACCTCCATAACGATCTTTTGGGTTAAAATTCTACTGAAATAACTACGAAATGGAATTGAAAAAGGCGTAAATAACATTTAATTATATTTTCCAACACGTTACCTATGATTAAATTAATTATATAAAAAGTACCTCTATACTATTGTGACTCCTCTAAGGCAGGTAAGTAATGACTAGCTTACTACAATAAGATGTAATATCCAAATAAACAGTCATCGCGTACACAAAAAGCTCTAACTGTTATAAATAACATAAATAACTCTTTCTGTTAGGCTGAATCCATAGCTATAAGCTATACTATCGCCAATTCCTTTCCCAGTACGAACTTCTTGACCCACGGATACCTCAGTTTTGAATTTATAATAAAGTCATCTTAAGAGCTACACAAGAAGGGCATCTATTATTACGCTAACTACGAAGCAGTCTACTTTATAAAACACATAAAAAATATAACTTGTGTTATAAGGAAATTATTATAAACTTAAATTACATCAAAGTACAGAACCTTCATTAAAAATATATACAGGTAAGATGGGGTTTATAAATCTATATATACTGAAGAACCAAGTATAAGCAGTTAAGTTTATTTGAAAAATAATCATATCAATGATACAAATAGAGTTTTGACCTATCGATTCTTTTGAATAGAGTATAACTTCTTTCTTTTAAAAAAAAATTTAACTCAATCAAATGTGGTAACGGCGCCTCCTACAGGCTGAGAGCAGATAATCTGGGGGCCTAACTAGGAGCGATTGAAGGCTAGCGTCTTAGGCTGCTTCGTGTTCGGTTTTCGGAGAAGACTGTCCCTAATGAATTTTTACTACACTTATCAACTGCGGAGAGTTCGAGCTCGGGAGCTAGCACTAGTGGTTTCTATAGGGAAAGCTAAAAAAAGACCGTGGAAAGTCAGGACGCCTTGGCCCTACCCTAGCACACATGCATCACTCTTTAAGACACGGCCAAGATAAGCTAGACGGGATCAGGTTCGCTTAAAGGGTTGCTTTTTAAAAATTCGTCACCTTTAATCTTGTGTAACGTTTGAAGGCAAGGGTGTACTTTTTTTTAAAAGCAAGTGATATTTAAGGGATTTGAGGTAGATTTTAAAATCTCTTGAATGATAATTCCCAGCTACTTTATAGGAGAGATGCCTTATTGTTTATTCATTTAATGCGATACTTTCAAGGTTAAGCCAAAGCTTCTAACTCTGAAAACCTTAGTGTTAGATTATGTGTTTAAATAAAGTTATCTTAATCTGTTCAAGTAATATCTAGTAAAACTAGTTAACTTAGTTTTATTTAGTTGTCCTCTAGACTAAGATATATACTAACTTCGACTGATGCACCTTCCGGACATTTAGTTTTTATCCTAGCCCTCTAGACTAACAATATCGCCGGGTCTCTAGATTAATGAAAGAATAACAACAAAGACGAGGTGAACACCGTAATAAAAAGAAAGAGCGGTAAAAAAATGGACGAACCCCACATGTTCTTATTAAAAATATAAATTGCATTGAATTCAACTACTACATAAGATATTAAGTAGCTACCCCTCAATTAATCAATATAACCCCGTGCTATAAGGTGATTAAGTTTTAAACATTATGTTTCACATCGAATTTCATATTAACCTTGTATATTTCCATGTATTGGCACCAATAAAATATCTTTTTAAGTTTGAGAAAAAGCCTTCAACGCACCTGTGGTTTATATTATTCTCTGCTCGTATCTCAGATATTACGAAGAGCTTACTAATAGAAATTTCTAGTTTATAAGTGGTGTCTTCATGTATATATTGCTTTATAAAAGCTCTATGTTCATATATTAGTTTGTTTTTACAATTTCTCACTCTCTTAAAAATCGTTTATATTAGGCATATAAGTTGTCCAGGCCAAAGTGCTTATAGATAACGGTAAGAGTTTTTTATCAACGAATATCTATCGTATATCCCCTAATGCTTAACTAAATACGCACACATGCGTTCATTTTACTATCTGTTCTATTTGTCCCGCCATAGCTCTTTTTCATTATATTTCAGTCTAGCAAAGTAAACAAATAATTATTGTCTTTAGCAAATAATAAATATTACTTGTATAACTTTATAGGCTGTTTATCTTGTATATACGTATTTAACTGCTAGAAATCTAGTAGGCTAGTATAAATTTATCGTTTATATTATTTTTTTTTGTTGTAGCTTAAAGTATCGTTTCAGACTTCCAATTTCTAGTGTCCCAAGAAAACTAGCACACTAATATCAAGGTATAAGGTCGCAAGCCCTATACTGGTTATTTTTTAACTTTTTCTTTCACTAAAAAACGCAAAAATTATATAGATGCCATTTATAAATTATATTGCATTTAATATTTACTTAACTGAGTAATTAATGAAAAACTTGTAATTCTTTGTAACCAATGATACCTAAAGAAATTGGTTACCATGCATATTAAGAACTCTAAATGGACACTTACAAATTTATATACATCTTTAATTACTAAAAAAAACTCTTTAGGGAGCCACTTACAGTTCATTAGGTTTTTTGATTTTTCTAGGTCTCCATCTTTTCCGAGTATTAATTTAAAAAAATCTAACAGATTCGATTTAAAATTTAAGACGTTTTCTATTTATATTACTTTTTTTTTTTTTTTTTTGAATTTTTGCTGTTTTTTTATAATTAGCGCTTCTAACTCTTCACACAGATTTGTAGGTTACTAGAAAAATGATAAAAGACTTTTAAGTTAGTTGAAAGTTTAAGTTGTTATTTAAGATAATTTTTTTATTTTTTGTTAATAACATATATTAAACTTATACATTTTCAGTAAGGGGCTTGAATTTTAATAGACCTGATTATTATCACAAATGAGAGTACAATATTTAACTTTAAAATAACTTATAATAACGCTCTTAGCCGTTGCCTTTATTATATTTGCGTAGGATTGAAATAATCAAAACTTACGGTTATGAATTATGTTAAAAGTGGTCCGTCACCTACCAAACTTGAAAACTATTTATATAGGAACAATTATTGGCTCCAGGTATCAGTAGACGAATCTTTCGACCTTCATGCTCTGCTCTTGTTAACTTTATTATTAAGGCTCTGGTTCTAGCTCTTTCATTGCTTTTCGGAATATTCCTTATCCTTGGAGGGATTAGTGTGCTCTTTCTTGTTAGCAATTATAAGAGAGCTAGTGATGCCCTCTCTAAAGTGTCATAGCTTTGGAATGCTGTAACTTAACATATGTAAAAGAATTACTTAAAAGTCTTCTATACTTATATAGCTTATATAAATTGTTTAGCAAACATCCTTATAAATACAGATAATTTTATGTAAAGCTCACTGAAAGTGGGTTATGAATTTTGCTCTGGTTGTAAATCGAGAGTGTAACTATATTTATTGGTCAACTTATTAACTTAATACACTGTGAGAGTGTAGTGATTTTGCGAGTAAAAAATTTTAAATTCATCTCCTCCCGGAGCGAACGGGATCTGATACTCTTTTTCAGTGGTAACCAGTTACGCCAAAGATGTGGATTTATTAATTTTAAAAAGGACAGCACCAGAGTTCTGCAACTACTTTAGCTATGCCAACATTGAGAGCTTTAAGAGCCTAGTTTAGCACTCTTAAGCTGCAGAAGAGTTAACAGTTTTTAGCTAGACAAGAGCAGCTACCAAAAAAGTATTATAGAAAATGGAAAAGGCAATCTCTTGAGCAATGGCTGCTGTGTGGGATGTGTTTATTGCGGTTTTTTAAGTAACAATATTAGGCTTAAATTAATAGCGGTTGTTTAGCTAAGATACCAAAAGTGCTATATGAAAAGCTGCTTTACCGTCAAAATCCTTAAAAATCTTTAACTTTGAAAGAGGGCTTCACTAGTAAGTAACCAAGCCATCATATACTTTAATTTACAGTTATTCGTATTTTCAATAAATTTTAACAAAGTTATGAGGAGAGAGTTAATAGTTAAATTATTCATTCTCTCACGCTATTCACTAAATACTTCAAGAATAAATTTAAAGCCAATAAATTAAGAGAAGTAGATAAAGTAGTGGTCGGACTAACCTAATAAAAGCTGCCTTCGCAAAATACATTTATAGCCGGTGAAAGTTAAGTTTTTGCTTGTTATTTCTGTAGGTACGGTAAACCAGTTAACTCTTCTGATATGAGGCTTTTATCCAAGAAACGGGGTGTAAGCAAGGGATGAATAAATTTCAAGCTTTACTTTACTTGGCATAAAAAATATACCGAACTCCAATATATTTAAGTTAATATCCATTCATATTTGTGTATTTAAGTTTAGTAAATATAGTATTCACGTCGACGGGATGTATATTTATTACAATAAATTTAACGGTTTGCGTGATGTCTACAATATTTAATTTATGCAGTTAAACCAAAAATTTTAATTCTTTTTTTAGCGCTCTACTTATGAAATTTTACGTACAGTTCTTAGAAATAAAGTACGTAGGGTTGCGAGCAATAAATTAGAAAATATGATCTGTCAAAGTTAGAGTAAAAAATAGTCCATAAAACTATTCAACGCTGCACAAAACGAGTAAAAAACAATAAAAAAGTACTTTCATAGAAGAGGAGCAACAAGTGGGAGAACAAAGTCGTACTCTTCGTACCAACTCGAGATAGCACTGAGTTGCTCTTCAGGGAAAGTCAACTTGAGTTCAGCAACCTGTAATACTTTGTTCACTATCGCGCTAAAAAACACGGCAAACACACTACCCTGTACTGTAACTGACAAAGCAGTGCATGAGCAGATATTTTCAGTTGGGGTAAAGCCAAGCATAGGGCGTAGATGTGCTCCGGGGTTAGTTCCTGGCTTCTCTCGGTTAACTCATTCAATAATTTTGCGTGCGACTCTATAAACGTGCACGTTTGGATTAAGCAGGTAAATATACACTTACTCCGGAAATATCAAATAAACGCTAAAGAACCGGGATCCTTAATAATGGGGCGAAAAAAAGCCAATGCATAAACACCATCAACGAGATCATCAGTGTGAACGCAGTGAGCGCACATGCTCAAGCGCTTGAGTGTGCGACTGGTCATAAGAGGGCCGCGGTGAGAGTAGTATATACAAATCTAGTAAAAAAAATTACTTAGCCAGAGCTGGATGAGGGAATCGTGCCTTGGCGTAGAGAAGGCACATTGTGACAAGAGTATTAAATGCTGCATCCCGGTAACCAGAAACAGCAGTTCGACTCATGGAGTAGTAGAGTTTTTTATCAGCCTCTTTAAAGCAGTATAAGGTCCTAAAAGTGTTTAAGTTATAATATAACAGCTTAAGGAAAAATAAATTAGTTACCACATAACTCGAGCGCCTTGGAGAGGGGTGTAGTCAGAATGACTTAAGTGGGCTCTTTTTTTTAAGGCAGCAAGCATAAGGTCATGTTTAAAGCCAGCATAAGCAAAAGCTTGGCATACTTTAGATAACTTGTTCCGGTATGAAAAAGTTAAAAAGGGCTAAAGTGAGAGTGAACACATAAAAAAAAAAGGGGAGGGGGGGGGACAAGAGTAAAAACAGAAAAAAACAGAAATTATCGCGACAAGAGATCTAAATTCTTATAAACAATTACAGCGAACAAAAAACCATAAAAATAAAAAAAAAAGACTTGCTGTGGCTGAAGTTTTAAAGCATAAGATACAACTCTGTCACCAAGTAAACCCCAAAGTTTCCTAAAAGAAGAGAGAATTTTTTATAAAAGAGCTTTTACGTTATTCAATTGATTAATCACTTATTTGCGCAGTGAACGGGTAGAGCCCTACAAGCATCAGCAAAGTAACCAATTTCCTGATAGCTTAGATAGTTTAAAGTATTAATTATTTCATCGTTAGAAGAAAAATCTCTATCCTTAACAAGGATCATATATTTGTTCGCTAAATGTTTATCTTCTTGCTCAGATTTAACCATAAGAAGTTGCTTTTCTTTTAAAGCTTTTATCATAGCTAGTCGTTTAGATTTCCCTGAATTTAAAAGTGAAGTGTTCAACATAAAGTGATATATAGTATCATTAAGTTAAAGCATAGAAAGAAGAATTAATTTATGTATAAAGTAAAAAATAAATGAACGAATGTAACTACCTTGTGGGGTAAATTGTCTTCCTGCCTTTAACACATATAAGGTAAGATGAAAGGAAGAAACATGTGTTAATAAGTTACGAGCACTTTTGAAAAACTTTGACCCAACATTTTTAGTTAGAAGACACCACTGTGCCATCGTAAAGGCAACGCTGGAAAACCACTTGGACTCTTAAATTCTAAGGTCCGCAAGGTAGATTGCGCACCAAATACTACCCTCGTTGATATAAAATATGGCAGCGGGTCAGCGGATTTATTCGGCTGTTATTGCTTGATTTTGCTTAGTATATGCTAAAACTACTAAATGTTTTTATAATTTAAAATGAGTTTTATGTTTTCTGGAGTAACTGCCTCATCGGGGCATTTAAAGCATTAACCACCAGTTGTGTTACGGTCCCGTGTAAACACAGCACATCACCGGCAAATAATCCTTGTTTTCGACGGGGCAAATCCCTTAAAACTCTTTTCAAGCCATTGCTGGGCTTGAAGGCATTTTTTTCCATCTACAGCGCTTGATTAACACAAGAAATTCTTTTTTATCGTTGTTTTAAAATAACAAGGGTAACCGTCAATTATATTTCAACATCGCAATAGCTATGGACGAATAGCCATCAACTTTTGACATGTTATCGTTTGAAGGTTGGTACTAACCAAAATGATATGGATTATATTAAAAAGGGCAATTGTGATTTAGGCCTTGGGCTTTTCGAAAAGACATATGAATTCTAATACACTTCAGATAGCGGAGGTATAAATAGTACAAATTACTAAAAGTGTAAAGGCTTTTGTCAAGAAAAGTTGAGGTACTTAACGATGCTGCTTAGTAAAGAAAATACTAAGAAAAAATTGTTTAAATTAATTATAAAACTTTAGTTAAATAAATTATAACTACATTTATACATAACGCCTTTATAACTTGGATTTTTTTCCCCAAATGTAGTTCTTCGCGTCCTACCTTTCGAATAAGCGGTAGCTCCCTTATATTTGTAAAATTCTAACCTTCCTTTATCTTTTATTTTGTGATAAACGTTGCTGGGTCGAAGACAACCGTCCCTTCAGGATATATATAAAATTTATTGGGTTTTTTCCTGAGTATGACACAACTAAAATCTAGTAATCCGCCGCAGAACAAGCAATCTTAAGTTTGTGCAGATGGGAACTTAAAATATGCTTAACCGTTTATTTTTACTTATGTTATACTAGTACAAAACATTATATACACCGAGAATAACCGTACTTTCTTAAAAAACATTTAAATAAACGTCTATCTTAAAAAAATATTCTGCCTAAAAGAGATGCAACATAAGTTCTTTACGGTTTTAAAAGTCCATATTATTTGCTAAATTTAAACAGTCAACAATAACTAGCAAGGTTTACTAATAATGAAGTATCACATTAGGTAGACCTCTCAATTTTTAAAATACTCGAGGCTACCGTTGTAAACGGGTTTAATCGACACTACTTATTGCACTTAAACGATTATAAAACAATTCTTTTTTATTAAGTAGAAACAAAACCCACATTTCAACTACATAAAAGTGAAAGGTGGTTTTCAAGTTATCCAACAAATATTATTTATGACATAAGAGAAGTGTAAATTTTCGTCTAACTTTTGTTTACTTTAAAGAGGAAAAGGTACAATATTTATATTAAAAGAGTATTTACAAGAAAATAACTCTAATTCTGAATAGAAAACTTTTAAAAAAAAAGCCTACATTCTGACAACTAATAAAAATATGTCTATTATTGAACCGAAAAAAAACAAACTTAAATTAATCTACTAGTAATCATCAACTCAGATGCGGTGTTAAACATCCTAACTTGAAGTTTCAAGAGGTGCAAATCCGCAGCTGCTAACAAAAAAGAAGTAAAGGTGGAGTAATTCTTTTTGGTCTCACCTTTGTCGGATTTTTTAGCCCCTGGAACAGGCAATATAAGCATCAAAAAAAAATAGCAAGTTCACCAATAAACCATATTTTGAACGAGCATGCACTCTGTCAGCTCCTCCCAAGTCTCGGTTACCTCGCACTAAGGAATAGTTAACACCAGGCAAATCTTTCCTACCGCCTTATATTATGAAATTAACTAAAGTCCGCTACAAAGGCCCGAACTTAAAAAGATAAACCTCCACGGACTAACACAGATGAATGAGGGGAAAGGTTGTGCTTACCACCATTAATAAAGGCGTTTATTATAAATCCTAAAAAAAAGTTCAAAGTTATATGAGGCGTTACTTAAGGTGAGAGGCTATTATTTAAAGAAAACCGTTGCTCAAACGAACTTTTGCAACTCTTCGATTAGCGGAATTCGGTTTTTTGGGCTTCATTATCATAAGTTTCAATACTACGCCTACACAGTTTTATTTAAAATAGTTACAATAAATAAAATTCAAAATTAAAAATAAAGGAAAATTAAACCAGATTTGAAAGGGCATCCTTGAAGAGCTTTACACTTGCTAACCTTAATTTTACGATATTTTTTACGGCGAATACACTGTAATAGTGTCATGCTTGAAGTTTATAAATGACTTCCAGACACAGAGCTCCTGCCTTTACGATATCAAACGCGACCAAGCACAGGCCGTTTTATAAACTTGAATTTACTCCAAGCTTCAGCAAATGCCAAATAAATAACGCGTCAGAATGGGCGCAGGAGGACCTAGATTTGGTTCACTGAGATTTTCAGTTTAACTCAATCCCGACTTAACAAAGCACATGACTATTCATGGGTGACTCCAGGAACGCACTTCCCGTCATTGTAAATGTAAGACAAATTTTACATGAAACGCTTTAAAAAAGATGTAAAAGGTTTTGTTTGTAAGGACACTTATACACTGTTACGCTTTACAGACCAGAATTTTTTATTGTCAGCAACCTAACTCTCAACTCTTTGGGTCAAATAGCAGAAGCTTTATGCGTGAGTTCTCATTACTAAAACTCAATTTAGTAGTTAGGCATAGGGCTTTTATAAGTAGCTTACTACTAGGATTAATTTTTGTCTAATAATGCCTTGAGCGTTAAAGATAATTTATACCAAATTATAAGAAAACTTTTGCTAAAACTTTACTATGAAGAAGATAATAACTGGTAAGAATGGTTAAAAAGTTTTTTCTACATTGTCAACTTAGACACTTCATGCTTTACTGGCGTAAAACATTTAGGAAGTTTTTTTTTATACCGTACTCTTGCGCTTTCGTTATTAACTACTTTTTTATGATCCTTACTTTAACTCATAACTCTAATTGGCCTATATCTGCGTATTCCGTAGTGAACTTTGCCAAATTTTTGAAAACATTTTCTGCTATCTCAAAAGTATTTGATAGAATCTTTAGTTAAAAAACAATAATTAGATGCCCCATTTTAACAGACAACTTTAGTTTCTAAATTTATGCACGAAAACTTAGCCCCCACATAAAAGAGTAGTTGAATTGATATTAGCATAAATTGTGCAAACTAAGGACAAAGGTGGTAATAAAATTAGTACTTCATATAGTAATACAGTGTAGTAGCACTATTAACTATATTAAAGTAAGCAGTAACAATAATGAGAACATTGATAATTATAATTGCCACCAATCCCTCAGTAGTTCAGAGTAATTTAGTTTGGAAGATTGTATTTTCACAGTATAAAGCTAAGGATATATGTATTAACTCAACTAAAGACGCTACACACGACTTTTTAGGGGTGTACCGCTTAACTTGACCCTAATAGCTAAAACTATAATTAGTTATCTCTTAAGTAGGTAACATCATAATCTTAGGTGGTGTCTTTGCTGAGAAGGGCAATGAATATACTAAAACCATTAATTCGGAGATACCGAGATCATTTGTTTTTCAAGTCACAAGTGTTTTGAATTTGGTAAAAATTAATAAAAAAAAAACTACTAATATAGATACAAAATAAAGAAATTAAACCTCTTAATATTAACAATAAGTTTTAAAAAATGACTATTACTACAGACTGAAGGAAACTACTATTTACACTATACATCAGGGATTTATTATTCGAATGCTTACAGAAGACCTCACGCACAGAAATATTATTACAACCCTTTGAAGGTTTAATATTAAAAAAAGTAAGCTTTGCCCCAAACTAGACCACTGCTAGAGTTTGCCAGATAACTAATGGGTTAGATTACTAGGAAGCTTAATTAACGGTGTAATCTAAAGTTTCATATTATGCTGTTAATTACAAACCTTAAACGAACGTGTATAAGGACAGACGACATTTCTACTGCATACTTTTATACGCAACATAAAAACCGGTGTCTTTTCATAAACCGCAAGGTTAATACCTAATCCAAATTACTTAAATTAACCACAGCAGTAGCTATTAACTGGACAGTATTGAAAACAAACAAATTTTTTATTTCAACTGAATGTTCTTTTAATGTCTTGAAAAATTCATATTATACTCTAGAAATTTGATACAATTGTTGACGTCTACGTTGGCTATTGCATAATACTAGGAAACTACAAAACATTCCTGAACAGTTTTTTAATATTATAACCAAAAATATATCGTAGTATTGGAAAATAGAGAGTATAAATTTACGACAATCGAGCTTATAAACAGTCATGAACCAAAAGGTCAAAATGAACAATTAGCTCAAACATATAATATACCAGATACGCAACTCCTTAGCCTACTAAAGTGAAGCTACATTCTCACAGAATTAGCTGACATTAATGTTGTATACTATTAATTTGTTAGGCCCTCAGAATAATAACACTTTACACCTAACGTTGCATACGCCAACACATTTTTGGGAAGATTTAAGGCAACAACGAGATACATGGCTTTAAGTTAAGCTCTAAGCTACACTCAAGAAATGGAAAACTTGCTAAACGAATTATTACGAGAAAAAAGTATATTTTCTACACGGATAAAACAAAAAATTGTCTTGTTAAACTAGGAAAGACAGTTGCTTGCAAAATTTCGGGTTTGTACTTCTTCTAGTAAGAACTTGATAGTATCACTTATTGAGGTCGTATAAAAACCAATAGGCGATTTACTGAAAAAAAATTCAACCGATATTGAACACTTACGGGAAAAAAAGAGGAGCAATCAATTTATTGTACCGCCGAGAGGGGGTCTCTATACCTTCAGGGAAGAAACGCACGTGGCTCCTAACAAGCTCACGTGCTATGAGTTAACTCCAACATTCACTAAATAAAAAATACTTTAACAAATTACGCGCCCCCAGATAGCTATTATCTTTATTTTTTAAAACTCTTTTGAAGGAAGATTACAGAGCTTATTGATGCAAAAGGAGAAGCTGCAGTCATTCAACACACAAGCTATGTAAGTATTCTTCAGGATTCAGAGGCTGTGGAGGTACGCATTAAACTACAAAATAAGTTAGGTTACTAGTTCTTGTACAAATTTAATTGACGAAGATTCTGAAAATACCTTCGGTTTACTGAACTCAATTCTATTGGTTAGGGATCTCAATTATAACTACGCACTTGCGATAGTAACTGGGCTATAGTAATGGATAACTCTTAATGGAGTTTCACGTAGTGCCAAATAATTAAATGGCTAATTAGTATTATTGAACCTAAAATTTAATGGTGTACTTTTCGGAGTTAAAATATAACGCAGTCTATTATCTAGTATTTTTAAGAAGCTTACAAACTTTCTTTAACTACCATGTCATATAGGCTCTTTAACCTAGCATTTCTCTTTTATTAAACAGTTAATCTAAATACCTTAGTTTAACTCAAAATATATAAAGGCAGGCTTCTTAAATGAAAAAAAAAGCCTTTAATAAAGTCCAAAATTTATTAATAAAAATCATAAAGTTCTTCATAACCTACTTTGATAACTAAAGTTAAAATGACTAAATCCTGCCGATTTGTTAATCCTGCCTTATATCATTATACGAACCACCAATGTATTTCGGGGACGTCGTAGCACACGTTCAAAGATAAATTTTATACGGTTGCCTTTTAAAATTTTCAAAGCAACCCACGAAGGGGGCGACAACCTTAATCATGATATAGATGCTACTATTTTACTAGTTTTGAAAAACTTCCCCAGTATTTATGTTACATCGAACTAAAAAGACTGGGGGACTAAATGGAACCTTATACTTATAAACTATACTATTAATGCTGTACCTTTTAATAAGACTTATTAAACTCTATATTACTAAATTCTAGAAAGTCGTTTTAATCCTAAAATTTATAAGGCCAAGTAACTTTACCAAGGATTATCAGTTAATAACTTTACTATCATGTATTAGTATAGTTGCGTAGGGAAGTACTTGGAAACTCAGGTTATGTTACTACTTACAAATAAGGCCTTTAATAATAAATAAACAAACCTTAACTATAGTATTCTTAATCGTTGAGTAAGCTTTGTTTTGCAGAATTTAAAGCAGGATGATCGGGTTTTCGTTCTTATGTTTTTGGATTAAGTAAAAAAAACCTATTAATAGAATTATGAATTTCGCAGTCCTCATAAGGACTGATACACAATATAAAATGTAACAAAACAGCTACAAAGGCAAGATACATACAAAACTACAGGTGAAGAGAAATGCTAGCAAATTTTATTAGACCACATGCCGAAGATATTTACTTAAGTTGTACGTGTTCTTTAACCGCTAAATCTTGATAATTTAATCGGGACCACATAATGAATTTGGCGTTTTTTAATATTACAAACCTACAATGAAGAAAGATGTAAAAAACGGAGGCCTCCAAGGATCTTATGCCTCAGGGGTCGTGTGAAGTCCTACTATTTTAGTCACATGTATAATATAAATAAAATATAATTTATTAATCGTATAAAATTTATTGTACTTTTAATACAATAAAAATAAAAAAAAAATAAATTAACCAAAAAAGTGATCACTCCTTGCTTATCTTCGCTTCTATTAGTAATTTGCATAACAAACCTGCTCATACCATACAGTTATTATATAACTTTAGTCTATGTCATTTTTTCAAATATAGGATACAAGGAAGTAACAACTTATTTGTTTAGGAAAAATTGTATATTATTACTATATAAAGCTAAGGCTAAAAAACATAAAGTATCGACAAGAGAATACAAACCCCAACACTTTACCTTTATTGTTAGAAGCCCACACTATATTTTATTTTTAGCTCCCAACGCGTAGCTCTTACAGATTAACTATACGCGTCTAACGTGTACAAAAAGCCAAAACATAGAGCTTATAAAGTTAGCTCCCGCCAAGACCAAAATACAAAATCCTAGCTGACGTAGTCTTCTAAATATATATATATAATTTAGGGGTTTTTACGCCAAGTTTTTACGCCTCTTCTTATTTAGTTGTCAGTTGGCCTTGTCAATAATCTTTAACTAATTGCGTAACCTGCTTAGGGTTCATCCATACAACCCTGCTTACTGGAACTATTTAAAATAATTGTTAGAGCACTACTATACGAGACGCAGTGACTGGTGGTTACTATGACAATTATGTTCTGTAGCTCTAACTTGGCGGCTCTAGTAAAATTACACTTACACCTCTATCTAACCACTTTGGAGACTTGCTCACGTCGAGTATAGAGATGAACACTACCAAGAATGTTTGTCAACGGGGTTTTTAAGTCCTCCTA